ATTTCAAGATCAAAGTAAAGAAAAGACCTGAATTCGGGGATAGCTTAGCCCTATAAGGTCACCTGGAAATCAAGTCAAGGTCATTTCATTTGACTTAATCTCAATTCAAGCCCTGCAGGTAACCTTATAAGGCTAAGTTATCCCCAATTCAGGTTCAGCGATCCCAAAAGCATTGTACCTACTGGTCAAAATTCATTACATGCCTCAGTTCTTGAATCCATCAACTTGAAACTTCGTGAAGCTTACTCAGGCCTCCAGCCAAAATCACATACTTCCCCCCTCTTTATCTCTGAAACTATACATAGGATCACTTTGGGCCCATGACAGTTTTTGATCAGAAAGTCAAAAACTATAACATACTGCAATTTAAGCAAAATTGACTGGGACCCATTTTCCATCGATTTTGTGCGGGGTACTTTCAATCAATTTGTTACAAGCATACCAAAGATTTTGTAAATAATATGATTTTAACAACCGACCAATACGGCCCTATACAGTGAAAATGGTAAGACTTAGCACCCTTGCTTTATAAGGCAAATCTGAATTATTTATTTCTATTTGTGGTTAAAGCTTGATTCACTCGAACTGAAACACCCTGTATACATAATACATTTAGAATTACCCTGATTTACATCATTTCGTCATTTTATACTTGTTTGTCGACGTAATGAATTAATGATGTGTTTAAGTATGCGGAAAGCTAAAAACAGTAACTTCACATAAATAAGATTTTATTAATAAAATTACTGAATTGCAAAAATATGGTTCATTTACATCACTTTTTTTTGTTACATCTACATATATTTTACTGGTAATATTATAAGTCTTACTTAATAATTTAAAGCAACAAAATTAGCTGTTATATAATGTGTGGGACTTTTCAGAAACTGTAATCCTGTTAATCTGAACAGTACGATTATTGCTCTTGTCGCTCGAAAAGTGGAGTTTATACTAAAAATTTTTCAACGAGATTTTAATATGTTAAATTATAGTCTTTCCGATCTCAATTGAAGACCAAAGAGCTAGACAGTATGTACGAGTACCAGGTTCGGTCGCTACGCAGCAACTCGGCATTGAAATATTTGAAAAACTTGTTCCCATATTTATTTAGCCATACCCATATACAGGTCTGGTCGAACTAAACGTGGAGGTGGTAGAAACGTATATACACACAGTTGGAGAATGCGTGTGCGGGCAAACGGTGCACAAGCTGCACTGGGCGACCGGCATAAATTTCAGTTGTTGATAAATTTTCATATATTTATTGTTGATTATTTTGTCCATTTCTTTAAAATCCAAAGACACGTTCTTAGATTGCAGTTTCCAAAAAGTTATATTCATTCATTTGGCAATAATTAGTATTAATCTAAAGTTACACGAAGCAGTTTACTGATATGTATGGCAAAAAAGAATTTTAATTATTTCACAAGTGTGAAGTCAAAAAATCCAATTTTATAAAAATTATTTAAATATATTAGTGACAAATTTTATTATAATTTAGGAATGCTATAATTATTTCTTAAGCTGTTTTTTATCTCAAGTATTTAAACAATGTTAACTCCCGAACAGATAATATAATCTCCGTAATGATAAAATCTGAGAAAATCATATATCGGCACAAGTAGTATTTTTCCTTTGCAAGACTTATAATACTGTAACGGTCGACATAAGTCGTCGTCTGCTTTAAATTTAATCAGTCATCAATGCTGACCGTATGGCCTTGAACTGTGGCAGACTGATGATATCTCCTTCGGTTTGCGAAGTCTACATTGTCTTCGTTTAGTTGAGACGATGTCAAGTCAACTCCTGGATATGACGGAGTTACAACAATTTGTTCATAATCCGTTACTCGTTTTCTAAAAAAGATATACAAATATAAAGATAATAAACCTGAAATATGATAGGATCATATAAAGGTGATTTTTTTTTGTACTGATGTACCGATTGCACAACTTACCCCATACATCTCAAGAAGACTACTTTCAGCCATTTAAAGAATCGAAATTCCGATGCTAATCCTGGTTTAACTGCAGGGTTAGCCGTGCCGATGTATAACCAAACTAGGAATACAACACTAATACAAGCAAAGGCATACACCCAGTTTACTAAGAACATAATCAGTATTTTCAGCACTGCCTGCAAAAAAAAAACATTTTTTTCCTGTTTAAAAATTCTGCAGAACAATTTATATACATTTTGCCATAAAAAGTATCCAGAATTCGTCAATAAAACACGATATATTCAATTAATCATAATTTAAAGCAATACACTTTTTCCAAGGACAACCCAGTCATCCCGGTATGGACTTGTACTCCTCCAGCGATTTTTGTTTTATGGCTTTTATCAACTCGAAGTATGTTCTATGACGTGCTAGTTTAAATTTGGGAAAGGGGAAATAGTCAGCAGGGGCCATATTTGATCAAAAATTCATTCACAATTATCGCTTTCTGATGAAAATCGAAGAATTGTCCTTCCATAACGCCTAGATAATATTCGTTGCTGACTGTTTCTCCATCGGGATGGAATTCTGCGTGGACAAGCTTGTTGGCTCATTTGCATATCAAACTCGTAAACCCATGTCTCATCACCCGTTATGGTGCATTGCATGAATGTCGAATTAGTTCGTCCAAGCATGTCTTCAGCAACACGTGCGATGCTCTTGAGATTTTTTCCTATGCTTTAGCCATGATCTGTCTCGTAATTTATACTCGAATGGACATTGGACGAGTCCGGTATTGGTAGACCAGTCCACCTGTTGTAGAATCGACGGCGGCGCGCTGATCGTCAAAGCAAACCTGTATTGGTCCACTAGATCGTAAATAATTTTGTGCATGGTATTCTATAATTAGATTGGTGTCGAACGCGGTTCACTTGGCTTTGCCAGTGCAGTGGAGTAGGGATGTCGGAAATGCAATAAAGTATCGATATTTTTTGAAAATATCAATATCGATATTGATATTTTTATTAAAAAATATCGATATATCGGTATGATTTGACAGAGAATATTTATTGGCGCTCAAAAAATTAGTTTATTTGGCCTAATCTACTTCAATCATCTTACATAGATAAATACTAATCAATAGACATCATTTTTAATAAATCAAGAATAACGATAAAAAATATTAATTATTTATTAATCAAACCAATATTTATCTGATACAGACATTGATTATTGATTGATTGTTTGAGAACTAGGTAGGTACTCAAGTGCAGAAATACGCGCGCGTTGAGGTTATAATAAATAAGTCAATCATGGTAATAATACGGACAGACAGTTGAAATTGGCAGACAGAGTTGCCAACTTAAAAACCAACTGAAGTACCAAATTAAAAAGCAGCAAATCGAGTCGACCAAAAACAAAAAAACCATAAAATGTAATTTGTTAAAAAAAATTTTAGTATAAAAAGTATTCCTTTTTAGGATTTTTAATCAAAAAAAGTACTTATAAATGTTTATCGATCTGAAAAAAATATCGATTCTTATACCTTTTGGATAGTTGGAATTATATATCGATACATCGATATATCGAAACATTAAATATCGCTCAAAAATATCGATACATCGAAAAAATAACATCGATATATCGATGTATTGATATTTTTCCGACATCCCTACAGTGGAGAGCAATAACCCGGGAAAATCCTCAAATAGTCGAGCCGGTTTTTGTCGAAAGTGTCGAAACAAACTCAGAGTATAAAAACGAAGATTTACACGTAAAAAATCAACGTATTATTTTAAATATATATGAATGTTTGAAAAGAGAAAATAGTGAACAATGTGATAAAGAAGTTAGGAAACGGATTAGCAAATTAACGAAGATATCAAAAACGACAATTTATCGCGTAATTAAAGAAGGATTAATCACGGTACAAAGAGGAAACGCAAAAATACAAAATTAAAAAATATTGACGATTTTACCAAATATGTAATAAGGCGCACAATTTATAATATGTATAAAGAAAATAAAGTTCCTATATTAAACATGATTCAAGATAAATTAAGCGATTATCCTGATTATAATTATAATGTGGTTTTAAACATAAAAAACTTGACAATCGTATGGTAATTATAGAATCACGACGTATAGTTGCACTTCTGGAAGATTATTTACAAAAAATTAGAGAATATCGTCAACTAAATAGGAATATAGCTTGAAATATAGTATATCTAGATGAGACGGTAAAATTTTTCTGGACGCCTATGGATTCTGTAGAGTTTACGAGTTAAATGTTTTTATGCGGTTCCAACTGATATCGTAATGACTATACCATTTGTATGCTTGAGTTTATGATAAAAACTGAATTATCGGACGTCTTTCCCAACATTTTCAACTAGTCGGCACAAGAAACTTCATTGGTAGAAGAAAACTTTAGGCAGACATGATCCATATTAAAAATCACGGAACAAAATTTAGGTGGACTAACAAAATTAATAGCTGTAAACGAACTACTTGACAGATCGCGCTCATTCGTCACGTCAGTGCCACCAACTTTTCATCAAAAAAGAAAATTAAATCTACTTTGCACATAATTTTTAAATAACAAATTCCGGATACTTTTTTGACAGAATGTACTAGGTTAAGTATTTTCTGGGTTACTTACTCCAAAAAGTGACAGCCATCGATTGCATAAATTTGAATACCAATTTTTCTGTTTCGAATGGATGTGATTTTTAGGTGCTATGGGTGTGGTTTCACTATTTTCGTCTGGACTACTGAGAGAGTTAGAACTAGATTCTCCCTAAAGTTAAAATATACAATTAAAAATTTTCTCGTTAAATGATCAACTGTTAAAAATGATACGTACATTTGCAATCTTATGCCTTGTGCGTTCTGGAAATAATCTATCCAAATCGTTGTCAGTGCTAACGGAAGTTTGTTGGACCCTAGGCCTGTGAAATCTTTGTTCCCTATGATGTTGTATATCAAAAGTTTGTGCGAGTGCAAAATACGAGTAATCGATACAAGCGTATGTTAATAAATAAGGCATCGTTACGATCGGTGCTAAAGTATTGATTCCACCGATGAATATGAATGTAAAAGTCACAAAAGCTACTACAGCCATCGAATACAGTGGAACTTTATTTGGTCCTCTCTGAAAAATATGACGCGTTAATACACACAACATTGCCGAAAAAAAATTGTATTATTTACCCCCATGCCCAATATACCAATTCCTGGAATAACATTTTCTAAAGCAATAGACTGCAAAACTCTTGGAGTGCCGTACATGGCACCCAGGCAACTAGACATAGATGAAACGTATAATCCCGCTAGTAACAGTACTCGTATAGCAGACACCCTCGCAGCAATCAAAAAATCAGTTAGCAGTGCATCTCTCGTACATGTGGCTCCAAGAAAAATGATGAAAACGAGATATAAAAATGTTCCAGTGCTTAATGCAGCTAGTGTCCCATTAGGGATGTTGGTAGATGGCGCTCTTAGATCACCGCTCATGTTAATTCCTGAGAGAATTCCTGTTATCGTTGGAAAAAATACCCCGAAAACTGTAAACCAGCTGTAACCCTCGTGATAATTTGACCATAAGTTGTCATTTATAATTCCCGACAGCCATCCTTTAAAACCATTTTCTGCAATATAAAGAATGTTCCACATTATTTACTCACAAATACAAACAAATAGCAATGTTTTATTTCAATAGCTACTGATCAATATAATTATTTATTTATTTATGACACACAGGGTGTCCCGCTTAAATGTGATAGAAGTCTGTAGCTTCTTCATTTTTTGACCGATTTAAAATTTTTTTTTTTTAGAATGTAGAATAAAAAAACTCTTCCTAACTGTAATGCCGCTATTTTCATGAAAGCAATACACGGCCAACTAGGACGCGTTTCTTTGACGTCAAAACGGCTAATTGGTATTAGCGATTTTTTTTTCAAAAAAACAAATTACATATTCTCATTCAGCATCCCTTAAAATGTTTTATCACCAAGTTTCAAGAAATTCGATACATCTTCAGACGAACACTAGTTGGCCCTGTATTGCATTAATAAAAAGTATCACAGTTCGATAGTTATTTTATCCTACATTCCATAAAAAAATTTTTGAAATCGGCTAAAAAATAAAGAAGTTACAGGCTTGTATTACATTTCGCAACATCATGGACTGCTCGCCTGAAGATGTATCGATTTTGATGAAACAGTGGTAAGACGTTTTAAGGGATGCTGAATGAGAATACATAATCTGTTTTTTGGGAAAAAAAAATCGCTAATACCAATCAGTTATTTTGATGTCAAGAAAACACGTCCTAGTTGGCTGTGAATTGCATTAATAAAAACAGCAATATCACAGTTAGATAGTTTTTTTAGCCCACTTTCCAAAATAAAAATTTTTGAAATCGACCATAAAATAAAAGTTACAGGCTTGTATCACATTTAAGCGCGACACCCTGTATACAATCCTAGAAATTATACTTCAGTGCCAATCAGCAATGTCTCTAAGTTTACAAATAAGGGCATCTATACTCGGCAGCCGAAATTATAAAGAGTGACTAATACATAATATAAAAACACTATTACCATAATGCGTATAAAATATAAAATGATTTCTATACGGTTCAATATTATTTATTTTTGTGCCGCTCGCCATGCACATCGGTAGAATCTATAATCGTGTATAGACTGAGTTACACTTAACGTCGATCTATACTTTATCTCTGTCTTTTGCACTTGGTAGGGAATAGGGAAATGCTTTTTTAGTGGGTGTAAACGGACTTGATTTGCCCGACCTGAGAAACGTCATAGCATAAGCGTAGACGAGGGGTCTAATTCCATGGCTATAATAAATTTATAAATTAAAAAAACACAACTGGGACGTTTTAAAATGCTGTAATAATTAAAATTGATCAAAGTGCCGGTTATAGCAAACCGTAAAAAATATTAGATGTTATGTTTTATTATGTTTTTTCAATATTTTCTATATCTTGTTGCCTTTTTCGCAGACACGTCAATGGATTTTCGTTCCCGGCATGCTTCATCCCCCTTACTAGTCCAAGAGTTAGCGATGAATCACTATCCATAATTTTGGCCGTCGAGTATAATTTAAGTCATTTATACAAAAGAGAATATTTAAATATATTTGTTCGCGGGGCAAGTGAAATAAATTAGTACATATTTCGAATATGCAGCGACGGAACATAAAAATGTATGTTTTCCAATATGTGATGACAGTTAATTTTATTATTTTAAAGTTGGTATAAAAACATACAGGAAATCTTTGAAATACAAACATTTTAAAAATCTCTGAATACCCTTAATATCATTTTTATGCGCTGTATACGAAGGGTTCCAGATAACCAAAACACATTCTAATTTGCAATTCCATAAAATAAAGCCTAGTTTATTATACTCAACAGCAACTAATGGGCTGCAAAATAAAGTTTAGAGTAATTTACATTACTTTTGGTTACTCTAGTTATTAAGTAAATAATTTACTTATGTTAAGTGGAAGCTGATTTTTTTCATACCAGGACATTAAAGATGTTAAATCTTTTTGAAATTTAATTAGATCGTTATTACTGTAAACTGAAGTGAATAATTTTAAATCAACTGCATGTAATATTGATTCACAACATAATTTAGAGGCAACATCATTAATATAAATATTAAATAGCAATGGTCCTAATACAGAGCCTTGAGGCACTCTAGAAGAAGCAACAATGTTTATAAACACATAAAATTTTATAGTTAATTAGACTCTAGGAAAACTAAATGAATATAACTTAAAACATACCTTCGTCTGTATGGACGAAACTTCCCACCATAAAATCAAGGCCAGCTAGAAGTAATATGAGGAGCAAAATAAACTGCAGTTTTATAACCCATTTAACTCCCGCTACATTTATGACACTGAGTAATAAGACAGCTGCCATTGCTATCAGTCGAACTGCCCATGGAGAATGACCAAATCCGATTAATTCCGCCATGGATTCACCGAAACCCAAAACATTTAAAGCACAACCTACTGCCTGAAAATGATTTTACCCAATTAAGAAAATAAAATTTAATAAAAATATATTTTTTGATGTATAAACAAATTAACGAGACTTTTACCTGTCCGAAGCAGTAAAGTAAACCAAGAGATCCTCCAAATCTAGATCCTAACGTATGTGCAATGACAAAGTATACACCTCCGCTTTCAATTCGACATCTTTCGCAAATGCCCACAGCTGAGAGTACCGATATTAAAGCGATGAATACTAAAAACCAAACAGAAATCCATTTTAATAATCCTCAACTTCCCGATTAATTAGGCTTTCAAAGTAACTCATTTTTCACACGAGTATCAAGTACTGTAACCATAGAAAAAGTGTTGCGATTATAGCCAGTCAAATTTTACTAACTGCATTAGCTATATTTTTAATACCGTATTATTACTACTTTCACACTAATGCTAATAACCGTGTTTAGTCAGTTTAAAAAATTTGACTAGTTATCAAGCGTGGAACACACGGTAAGTGAAGAACACGCTGTGTATCTACCTGTAGATAAAACTATGATAATAGCACTAATAATTCCAGCTTGACCAACTATCCATCCTGATCGTAAAAACACAATAACACCAAAAATATTAATTAAGCAAGATGTAAATACACCATCCCAAGTCCCAAACAAAACTGGTTGGGATATAAAAAAATTTGATTTCCACCAAGGTGCATCTCCCTAAAGCAAAAACTGTTATATATTATGTGTTGTTTACAACTGAACCTTATCAGTGTGTTAGTTACAGTAACAGATGTTTTTTTGTGTATTAAGGAATACCTGCTCTTCGGCAAATAATTCGTTGGCCCCTGAAGCCTGATGTCCACCTGCACCATAATCATTTGATAAATCTACGAAGCCACTTGTGTTTGCTCTAACTCTTTGTGCGGTTTCATTTCCCAAACCATATCTTGACCAGTTTATATCTTTGTTTCTATTTTGGTCTCTAGTACTGCTACCGTTTTCTTCCATCGTTTAACCAGACAGCCTCACAACCAGTAATGAAAATTTCAAATAAACATACCCCTTTTCTTAAATTTTGCATGTATCAAAAATATTTACTGTTATCCCAAATATTACAAATCTTGATAGATTGAAGTTTGAAATGTGGTTTACTTTTATCTGTAAATTTAGTTTCTTATCTCCTTATCTAATGTTATTATAAGAATCTTATACGTCACGTTGAAAACATTTTTCTTAAATATATTTATATACAGATATTAATTACATATTGATGACAAGGTATAAATACCCAGTAACAGGATAAGTGTCAGTCAAACACATCATCACAACATCATAGCTGAAATTAGTCAATTTAAAAATGGCAACAGGCAACTTCAGAAATAACTGCTACCAACTAAAACAGAACGTAGGTTCAGTTCATGGATCCAGTGAAATAAGTGCCTTAATACCAAGTGAAATGGAGCATACCGGAGTAACGTGGATACACTCACTGTGCACAAATTCTTGTAAATAAATAAGTATACTGTTCTGGTTGCCTTATGGGATACCACTTTGTATATTTTTATTAAAAATATTCGTGCCAGTAACAATACCAAATTATTTCACAACTTCTCAACAAATATTCTTTGGGACTTTTGAGTGTTATCGTCCAAACAGATCTTTAGGTCCAACGCCAACGAGTAACATGCCTTACACGCTCCTTCTCCTTCTCAGGCATTTGAAACCAATGGTCTACCTCTATTCTCGCCGACAGCTGTGTTCACACATGCGCACCAGTTAGAGAACCTATATGCAAGGGCGACATTTTGAATTCATCATTTAATTGTCGGAAACTATGAATTTTTAAAACTTGTGTCGAATGTGCGGTTTTAGTGAAAGTAGTGATGGGAATAATCGACTAATTTTGTTAATCGAGTTATCGGTAATCGAGTACTTCTAATAATCGAGTGATCACTCGAGATACGAGATATTGGTCGTTTTCATCCCAGCGGCGCACAAATATGTTTGTATTNTGTTCACACATGCGCACCAGTTAGAGAACCTATATGCAAGGGCGACATTTTGAATTCATCATTTAATTGTCGGAAACTATGAATTTTTAAAACTTGTGTTGAATGTGCGGTTTTAGTGAAAGTGTTTAGTGTGTGTGTAATACTTTTACGGTGTTAAGAACTATGCTAGACATTGATTGTGCCTATGGCGTCTGGAAAAAAGTTACCGATTTTTTACAAGTAAGTAAAAAGTAGTTCTCAATCCATCTACTTTGTAATTACTTTTTATGGGCGTAGTTAATACGGAATGAAATGATTTTTATTTTGAATTTACAAGAAACTGGTAACATTTACTTTGATATGACTTGTTGCATTTGTAGTTAAATACAGTAGCGACTGCGCGTCACAGGTTATCTCCTTGTAAAAAAGTAGGGATATTTTTTCAAATAGAGAACCACAGACGCTCTCTACATATAGCGAGGTCTGAAGTCACTGACTGTACAGATAATTGAAATTTTTAAAATGTCACATTTGTACAAATATCTCGAAAAATGTCAAACGTAGATCGATGATATCGATCGATATAATTGTGACGGCCTGTGGCGGAGATACTGAGAGGCCCTACCACTGAGAATCTTAGAATTTCGTCACAGAACTTTGTTTTGGAAATTCGAAATTCGATAGTCATCATAAGTATTTGCATAATTGTGAAAATAGCTGTGTTTTAGTTAACCGAGACTCGAGCTATTCTCAATGCTGGTAGGTTAAGTAAATGAGGTTAGCTCAGCTAATTAAAACGGCGAATTTTTAATATTCTATAGGGATTTTTGGAAAATATAATCAGATCAGATATTTCGTTAAGAGGAGCGTTTTTGTGTGTAATTTTAAATGAATTTATAGCAGTCTTTTGAGGAATTATTTATTGAGTACCTATTCTTATAAAATTCACGACAAAACAGGAAAGGTACCTACATTCCGATATTTACACGAGTGCCCATATGTTCCGTGATTTTTCACTGCGAAAAATTAAAGGGGTCCTTGTATTTCAACATTTTTATAGTGTAGACAGATTTTCTTGTTCTGTCATTGTCTTACTAAAAGTGCGATTTCTTGTCTATAGAACGTCAGCCTTGAAATCGTAAAACAACTGTTAGTGATCCACCCGATCTCAGATAATATTTTCTGAAAACTCGTATACGTATATTCGTATAAAATTAATTCAGGATTCTAACTTCTATAAGATCTTAGAGTGTGTTGAAAAATTAACGTGTGCTATTGGTAACACTGGTAAAAAATCAATTTAATTGCTGTGCCCCTAAATAATTAAATTGCGGTTATGGATGTATTTGTTACATATTTAAATAATATAATAGTAAATTTATTTTTTGCATAAAAAGTATTTGATTTATCGGAAGTGATTAAAACTGTTACTGGCGTCATCTTTGGATTAGTTGAAGTATGTAATGGCCATGTAAAGTGTGCTGCATAAACGTAAGGAGTTCTATTAATCAGATGTTTTTTTACAAGCAGATGAAATTTTAAAATTAAAGTAATATATGTATATGCGATAATCTAAAAATAATTGATTGCAATAAATCTAATTACTGTTAATATTCAGAATATTATTTATAAATAAAATGTTTCACTATTAAAAATGTACTATGCATAAAAATAAATTGCTAAATGAAAATCGTATTATCTACAGAATGTAAATTTATTCAAAATGTAATTTTAATGACAAAATGTTATGTGTAATTGGGTTTTTGTGATTTTTATTTTCAAATTTGTTTAAAATATTGGTTTCGCATCATTTGTGCATATTTCATCATTTACCTCCTTCCAAATAAATAAAAAAAATGTTTTATCGATGCAATGCTCTATAAGCCTTATTGTGCAAAAATATGTCATAATTATATTTTAAGTAAGTAGATATTAGTACTTCCTGCACGTATTGAAATTTAAATGTTTTCTTTCATTTTTTTCTTATTCATTGTCATTTTGTTTGTGTCGCGTTTTTAATGGATCTTTAAGTTAAGTTTCGCTAAATCTTTTCCACTCCAATTTATTATCATTCTCTATTATATAGATATCAAAATTTATGATAAGAAATCAATCTCTTTATAATTCGGCAGTCAGTAATGGTCTCATATTTTGAATTATTTATAGCTTCTACTATTAAACGAAGAACACATCTAAAAGCAGCTTAAAGTATTCTATTCTAATTCACATTTGGTGTCCAGAGGAATATAACAGTGTCATTTATAAACTTCTATATGGCTTTAATGTATACTTCGGCATTCACATGTCAAAATCGTTTGATATATGGGAATTGCATATCGCAGTAGCGAGGAATCATTTAATGGTACATTTTTATTTTGTGTCCTCGGTCTCTATAAAGTCGTAGTCTTGATCCTAGTAAATTAATCATCTTTGAAAGGGACTTCACCTTCACCACCAACTTCCCGTTTCACCAAAGCAAACACTAAATTCCTAACTTTAAATATGTAAAAAAGGTATAGTTTTATTTTATTGTTTTACCTAACTATATTTACGATATATTGAAATCGTTTTCTGTTTTTTTTCTATAATAATAAACTAAATGTGACAATTGAGTGCTCTAAGTTTTGCGATATATCTTGATAGTTTTCGATTACCACCGGGTAAGCCATTTAAGAGCAAAGCTCTGGAATTTGATGTCATCAACTAGCATGATATATGGGGCTATATTTTACTCAGAGACATAGGACTTTAGCGAAGATGATATCTTCTGCTTCCGTTCGTAGCGCTCCTCCTTAGCTTGTACTTGGTTATTTACTGTGCCTGCAATCTTATTTATAATTTATATTGATATTACTCCCTATCGCGCCCAAAACTTTAACACCGTTGTCCTTTCGTTGCCGCTTAATACCGGTACAGTAGCGTACATGTAAAATAAATACATTTTTCAAATAAAAAGAATACAATACAAATAAATCAATATATTTTATAATATTTATAAAGTTTTTATTTTACTGAGCATTTAAAATGTCTTCAATTTATTTATTTTTTTAATGACGGGGATTTCTGTCGCTTATGAAAAACAATATTTTTTGACAAAGGACAGGAACGGGAGCAAATCCCCGTTTCCAGAGCTGTCAGTTTAGATTTTTCCTGCATAAAGTCCGTTAAGGTGAACTGGACGTTGAATCGAGAAAGCTGCTCCCAAAGGATAAATAAAATTCTGAAAGCATTTCAACGTACGTCTTTGTATATGAAAGGACAGCAACTGACCTTTTCTCATATCCATATATTTTAAAAATTCGATAGAGAAATTTTGTTGCCATACATGTATACGTATGGAATTAAATTGCATCGTATTGAAGAACCAAAATGTTGTATGGGGTGTCAAAACATCAGTAAAATTGTAAATGAAAACATTTACCTATCTTTCGAGTTCTTAAAATTGCACTGATAATCAAAAATGGTAGAAATGACATTTTTTATCTTATTTCTTTAAGTGTACGCCATTGATTTTAAAGAAAGTTTTGGTTGTCGGAACGAGAAATTTGTTTTTTAACTGTAGAATTTATTTTATTTTTTCACTTTGACAGACTGGGATGTTCGTTGAATTGGCTACTATCTAATTTGATGTGTGCGGTTGTTTTATGCAAATTTCGTATAGAGACGTATGAATAGGGCATATACCTACCTATGCAAAACGAAAAAAACGGATTATAATTCGCTTTTTAAAATTGATCTGTGCATAATTTCGCTTGCAAATTTTGTATAGCAACTACCAATTTCGTTAAAAACTACTAAATTTTAGATTTCCATTCAACAAAATGCAAATGATGTCGTGTAAAATTGCAAACAATTTGCAAATTTTACGCATGCACTCTGAAACATTAATTATATTTAAAAGTTGGTAAATAATCTATTATTATTTTCTAAATAACTATGTCGACTTCCATTGGCGGACAAAACTTCTTGGGGTTCCCATACAATTAGGAGTTACGCAAAAACACGTATTGTAATTACACAAGTTACATCCATTTAAAAAAACCCAGAGCCTCCTCAATTACGAAGCAGTGATACATAATTTTTGTATATCGAATAATCGTGATTTCACTCTTTGCCTTTATATCTCCACGCTTAATTCTTAGATGTTTCTATAATCCATTTATAGATTTGCAAAATTATACACCACAATATTATTTCGTACCGCTCGGTTTTATTTTATCTCCTCCGAAGCATAATATCTACATTTATACGTCTAAAGGCTAAAGACATCCAATTGTTTTGCAATTTAGAATTCTATAGACTACTCAGAATTAAGACAATATAAACAAAATTGTTGAAGTAT